CCTCTCTGGCATAGCTTGAGTCATGTGACATTTGAATGTGACAGGCAGTGAGTGAGGGAGTAAGCAACATGCATATAATTCCAAAGTTAAATACGTGTGTGTTGTTAACACATTGTATTTGTGTCATCTCAGGCATTGAATCATGGGAGGGCTGTCAGCACTGCCTGTTGCCCTTCCTTGCAGGGCTTCTATATACACTGAACAAAAATATAAACACAACATGTGAAGTGTTGGTCTCGTGTTTCATGAGCTGAAATAAAAAATCCCAGAAATTTTCCATACGCACAAAAAGCGTATTTGTCTTAAGTGTGGTGCACAAATTTGTTTACATCCCTGTTGGTGAGAATTTCTCCTTTGCCAAGATGTTCCATCCACCTGACAGGTGTGGCATATCAAGAAGCTGATTAAACAACATGATGATTACACAAGTGTACCTTGTGCTGGGGACAATAAAAGGCCACTTTAAAATGTGCAGTTTTGTCACACAACACAATGCCATAGATGTCTCAAGTTTTGACAGTGTGTGCAATTGGCGTGCTGACTGCAGTTATGTCCACCAGAGCTGTTGCCAGATATTGAATGTTAATTTCTCTACCAACATCGTTTTAGAGAATTTGGCAGTACAGTTGAAGTCGGAAGTTAACATACACCTTAGCCAAATACATTTAAACTCAGTTTTTCACAATTCCTGACATTTAATCCTAGTACAAATTCCCGGTCAGTTAGGATCACCACTTTATTTTAAGAATGTGAAATGTCAGAATAATAGTAGAGAGAATGATTTATTTCAGCTTTTATTTCTTTAATCACATTCCCAGTGGGTCAGAAGTTTACATACACTCAATTAGTATTTGGTAGCATTGCCTTTAAATTGTTTAACTTGTGTTAAACATTTCGGGTAGCCTTCCACAAGCTTCCCACAATAAGTTGGGTGAATTTTGGCCCATTCCTCCTGACAGAGCTGGTGTAACTGAGTCAGGTTTGTAGGCCTCCTTGCTCGCACACGCTTTTTCAGTTCTGCCTACAAATTTTCTATTTTATATATTTTATTGAGGTCAGGGCTTTGTGATGGCCACTCCAATACCTTGACTTTGTTGTCCTTAAGCCATTTTGCCACAACTTTGGAAGTAGGCTTGGGGTCATTGTTCATTTGGAAGACCAATTTGCGACCAAGCTTTAACTTCCTGACTGATGTCTTGAGATGTTGCTTCAATATATCCACATCATTTACCTTCCTCATGATGCCATCTATTTTGTGAAGTGCACCAGGCCCTACTGCAGCAAAGCACCTCCACAGCATGATGCTGCCACCCCCGTGCTTCACGGCTGGGATGGTGTTCTTCGGCTTGCAAAGTATCCCCTTTTTCCTCCAAACATAACGATGGTCATTATGGCCAAACAGTTCTATTTTTGTTTCATCAGACCAGAGACATTTCTCCAAAAAGTACGATCTTTGTCCCCATGTGAAGTTGCGAACCGTAGTTTGGTTTTTTTATGGCGGTTTTGGAGCAGTGGTTTCTTCCTTGCTGAGCGGCCTTTCAGGTAACGTTTTACTGTGGATATAGATACTTTTGTACCTGTTTCCTCCAGCATCTTCACAAGGTCCTTTTGCTGTTGTTCTGGGATTGATTTGCACTTTTCGCACCAAAGTACGTTCATCTCTAGGAGACAGAACGCGTCTCCTTCCTGAGCGGTGTGACGGCTGCGTGGTCCCATGGTGTTTATACTTGCGTACTATTGTTTGTACAGATGAACATGGTACCTTCAGGCGTTTGGAAATTGCTCCCAAGGATGAACCAGACTTGTGGAGGTCTGCAATTTATTTTCTGAGGTCTTGGCTGATTTCTTTTGATTTTCCCATGATGTCAAGCAAAGAGGCATTGAGTTTGAAGGTAGGCCTTGAAATGCATCCACAGGTACACCTCCAATTGACTCAAATGAGGTCAATTAGCCTATCATGGCTTCTAAAGCCATGACATAATTTTCTGGTATTTTCCAAGCTGTTTAAAGGCACAATCAACTTAGTGTTTGTAAACTTCTGACCCACTGGAATTGTGATACAGTGAATTATAAGTGAAATAATCTGTCTGTAAACAATTGTTGGAAAAATTACTTGTGTCATGCACAAAGTAGATGTCCTAACCGACTTGCCAAAAATATAGTTTGTTAACAAGAAATGTGTGGAGTGGTTGAAAAACAAGTTTTAATGACTCCAACCTAAGTGTATGTAAACTTCTGACTTAAACTGTATGTCCAACCGGCCTCACAACTGCAGACCACATGTAACCACGCCAGCCCAGGACCTCCACATCCGGCTTCCTCACCTGCGGGATCGTCTGGGGGGAATGTAATAAAACTCATTCTTATTGGCTGGGCCTCGCTACCCAGTGAGTGGGCCAGGCTGCCAAGTGGGTGTGCCTATGCCCACCCATGACTGCACCCCTGCCCAGTCATGTGAAATCCATAGTTTGGGGCCTAATGAATTTATTTCAATTGACTGATTTCCTTTATATGAACTGTAACTCAGCAAAATCTTTGAAATTAATTGTTGCATGTTACATGTATATTTTAGTTCTGTGTGTGTGTGTGTGTGTGTGTATTTGTATATAGCCACGTACTAGTCAAAAGTTTGGACGCCTAGTCATTCCAGGGTTTTTCTTTATTTGTACTATTTTCTACATTGTAGAATAATAGTGAAGACATTAAAACTATGAAATAACACATGGAATCATGTAGTAACCAAAAAAGTGTTAAACAAATCAAAATATATTTGAGATTCTTCAATTAGCCACCCTTTGCCTTGATGACAGCTTTGCACACTCTTGGCATTCTCTCAACCAGCTTAATGAGGTAGTCACCTGGAATGCATTTCAATTAACAGGTGTGCCTGGTTAAAAGTTAATTTGTGGAATTTAATGCGTTTTAGCCAATCAGTTGTGTTGTGACAAGGTAGGGGTGGTATACAGAAGATAGCCATATTTGGTAAAAGACCAAGTCCATAGTATGGCAAGAACAGCTCAAATAAGCAAAGAGAAACAACAGTCCATCATTACGTTAAGACATGAAGGTCAGTCAATCTGGAAAATGTCAAGAACTTTCAACGTTTCTTCAAGTGCAATCGCAAAAACCATCAAGCGCTAGGATGAAACTGGGTCTCATGAGGACTGCCACAGGAATGGAAGACCCAGAGTTACCTTTGCTGCAGAGGATAAGTTCATTCGAGTTACCAGCCTCAGAAATTGCAGCCCAAATAAATGCTTCACAGAGTTCAAGTCACAGACACATCTCAACATCAACTGTTCAGAGGGGACTGTGTGAATCAGGCCTTCATGGTCGAATTGCTGCAAAGAAACCACTACTAAAGGACACCAATAAGAAGAAGAGACCTGCTTGGCCAAGAAACATGAGTAATGGACATTAGACCAGTGGAAATTTGTCCTTTGGTCTGGAGTCCAAATTGGAGATTTTTGGTTCCAACCGCCCTGTCTTTGTGAGACGCGGTGTGGGTGAACGGATGATCAGTATGAAAATGTATGCACTCACTAACTGTAAGTCGCTCTGGATAAGAGCATCTGCTAAATGACTAAAATGTAAATGTGTATTTCCCACCTTAAAGCATGGAGAAGGAGGTGTTATGGTGTGGGGGTGCTTTGCTGGTGACACTGTCTGTGATTTATTTAGAATTCAAGGCACACTTAACCAGCATGTCTACCACAGCATTCTGCAGCGATACACCATCCCATCTGGTTTGGGCTTAGTGGGACTATCATTTGTTTTTCAACCGGACAATGACCCAACACACCTCCAGGCTGTGTAAGGGCTATTTTACCAAGAAGGAAAGTGATGGAGTGCTGCATCAGATGACCTGGCCTCCACAATCCCCCGACCTCCAACCAATTGATATGGTTTGGGATGAGTCGGACCGCAGAGTGAAGGAAAAGCAGCCAACAAGTGCTCAGCATATGTGGGAACTCCTTCTAGACTGTTGGAAAAGCATTCCAGGTAGATGTAGAAAATAGTAAAAATAAAGAAAAACCTTGAATGAGTAGGTGTGTCCAAACTTTTGACTGGTTCTAAAATATATATATATATATATATATATGAGAACCTATGTATGCATGCAGGGCAGCAGACTGTACATTAGGCTATACAAAGGGAGGGGGGTCATATGTACAATGTGTATGTAAGGTAAGATGTCATATTAGTTAAATTATTGTTGAAAAGATTGTGCAGCATTTCTAAGAACCAGCTGAAGCTTTGAGGTCCATGTTGAAGGTCCTGAGCGGAACATAAATGAAGGCTCTTCTACCGTGTATTCTCAGTTGTACACAGATTACTGTGGTTTCATGATGTTGTGCTTGAATGACATGCCCTCGCTCTTTTGAAAGCAGTCAGTGCCTCGTGTGGGTTAACAAAGCTGGTGAAAAAACCAGTGTAAAGGCCACCTGTATAAGATGGCTCACAAAGCATTGGAGAGGTTACATAAAGAGATAAAAAATACTCTGCAAAATTCCTTGTCTAAGGAATTGGACACTGAATCCTTGTAAATAACAGTCCACCATGAGCTGGCAGCAGGACAAGTCATTCATAATAACCCATTTAGTTATATTTAGAGTGATCGCCTATTTTATTGATTGTTCATAGACATTTCAGTTATTCACATACGTTGTATGCTATGTAAAGTGTATACTGCCATAACAAAATGAATGCCCTTATTGCGTGTCTACTCTGGAAGAAGTATTAAGAGCCACATTACCTCATCACACTCACTGCGATGGGTAAGGTCAAGAACCCAAAGTCACCCGGTATACTTTGTCTTAATCCACCTCAGTATGTCAGTGTTTTAGCAGGAAACCCAAAGTGACGCTGTGTCTGTTTGTTGTAACCCCTCTCAGCAGGCCAGTGTAGTTGATAATGGTCAGGGTTATGTTTCTAATACAGGGAAGGGAGGGAACCCAAAGTGACGATGTGTCTGTTTTTGTCATAACCCCCCCCCCAAGCATGCCAGTGTGGTGGATGCAGATGGCGAGAAGTTGATGACCCCGGGGGACTTTGTGCAGAAGTACCTGGGCCTGCACACACAGATCCACCACAACCCCAAAACTGTCCAGCTCATCGCTGGTGTAGCCGATACAACCAAGGACGGGTGAAGAGCTGCCTACCTTCACCCTCTCTCTGTCATCCCTCTTGTTTCTCTATCTTTCTCTCTCCCTTATCCTGACTCCACCAAGTACATGGTTAACAGTTGAACATGCTTAGCCTTCTGTCTCCCTCCCATTCTAGTTCTGTCTCCTGTCTTGCACCCTCACCACATCAACCATGGGAGATTGTTTTCATTGAGCAGAAGGCTCCTGCAGCAGAGAATGATAAAGAGAGATCTCAGACACACATAGATAATGGTGATGCTTAGATCAGTTAATTAGGATGTTATTTGGTCTAAGAACAGAAGTTGACTTAATGGGTGCTCATAAATAATTATACAAACACACACTGCACAAGCCATTTCAATGCCCTTAATCCAATTAGTGAAGTTTCACTAATTGTTTAGCTACAATGGTCAACTAGTTGTAACGTCAGTCAGTCATGTAATGGATTAAAGAATCATTAAAGGTGTGTGTGTGTGGTTGCCTTGCAGGGGGATGAAGCACATGTCTGTCATTCAGAGCTGTTTAAAAGTAATGACCTACAAGCAGCGAATCCCCAATGAGCCTTTTACTTTTCACTCAGTCTAGAGAAATTACCTGAAAATCCATTACAATTGGTTTACAGTATTTGAAATGCATGGGGTAATTTTAAGAAATAGTGCATGGCCTAATCTCTCCCTACATCATTGCTGACATTTTTATGATGTTTCAGTGAAAGCTGATCCTTTCTCCCTCTGATTGGATCTTGTGTATCTGAAGCTTTGTCCTTCATGGCATCGTGTGTATTGTTTTAATGTTGTCTCGCTCTCTCTCTCGCGCTCTCTCAAAAAAACACACACAGGCTGATCTCATTCCAGGAGTTCTTGGCTTTTGAGTCGGTGCTGTGTGTTCCGGACGCTCTCTTTATCGTAGCCTTCCAGCTGTTTGACAAGACCGGCACTGGAGACATCTCCTTTGGTACGTACATGAGTGTGTGTGTGTTAGTGCTTGAGAGGGTGGGTGGGTGTGTGTGTGTGTGTGCGCGCATGGCATGGCTAATTAAAGGGAACCAATTATGGTTCATTAGTACAGTCACTCCACTTAAAGGACACTGTTTAATCTGAATATGAATATAGGTTAATGCTGGTCTGTCATAGAATTAGAATGAGTAGAACCGATATTGTCCCTGTGTTCACAGATGCACAGAAAGAAATGTAATTCTGAGCGACGATGTGAAGACATTTAAAATGGTACACCCAATATGGCCGCCGTTCCTCCCATCACAAAACATTGCATTGAATGGGAATGTCCATTCTGCTCATTCTAATTCAATGGTTCTCTCGATCTGTCCATCCCTTGAACAGAGAATGTGCGGGACATCTTCAGCCAGACGACTGTGCACCACCACATCCCCTTTAACTGGGACTGTGATTTCATCCACCTGCACTTTGGACACGACCGCAAAAAACTCCTCAGCTACCTTGAGTTTACCCAGTTCTTACAGGTATATACTCACACACTCAGTCACGCTCGGTGACATATGCGCTCGTTGACATATGCGTGCGCGCTCGGTGAGATATATATGCGTGCGCACGCTCGGTGACATATGCGCACGCTCGGTGACGTGTGAGCGCGCTCATTGACATACACTACCGGTCAAAAGTTTTAGAACACCTACTGATTCAGGGTTTTTTCTTTATTTTTACTATTTTGTACATTGTAGAATAATAGTGAAGACATCAAAACTATGAAATAACACATATGTAATCATGTAGTAACCAAAAAAGTGTTAAACAAATCTAAATATATTTTCTATTTGAGTTTCTTCAATGTAGCAACCCGTTGCCTTGTTGACAGCTTTGCACACTCTTGGCATTCTCTCAACCAGCTTCACCTGGAATGCTTTTCCAACAGTCTTGAAGGAGTTCCCAAATATGCTGAGCACTTGTTGGCTGCTTTTCCTTCACTCTGCGGTCCGACTCATCCCAAACATCTCAATTTGGTTGAGGTCGGGGGATTGTGGAGGCCAGGTCATCTGATGCAGCACTCCATCACTCTCCTTCTTGGTAAAATAGCACTTACACAGCCTGGAGGTGTGTTGGGTCATTGTCCTGTTGAAAAACAAATCCCACTAAGTCCAAACCAGATGGGATGGCGTATTGCTGCAGAATGCTTTGGTAGCCATGCTGGTTAAGTGTGCCTTGAATTCTAAATAAATCACAGACCGTGTCACCAGCAAAGCACACCCAGACCATAACACCTCCTCCTCCATGCTTTACGGTGGAAAATACACATGCGGAGATCATCCGTTCACCAACACCGCGTCTCACAAAGACAGGGCGGTTGGAATCAAAAAAACTCCAGACCAAAGGACACATTTCCACTGGTCTAATGTCCATTGCTCGTGTTTCTTGGCCCAAGCAGGTCTCTTCTTCTTGTTGGTGTCCTTTAGTAGTGGTTTCTTTACAACAATTCGACCATGAAGGCCTGATTCACACAGTCCCCTCTGAACAGTTGATGTTGAGATGTCTGTGACTTGAACTCTGTGAAGCATTTATTTGGGCTGCAATTTCTGAGGCTGGTAACTCTAATGAATTTATCCTCTGCAGGAAAGGTAACTCTGGGTCTTCCTTTCCTGTGGCGGTCCTCATGAGAGCCAGTTTCATCATTGCGCTTGATGGTTTTTGCGACTGCACTTGAAGAAACTTTCAAAGTTCTTGAAATATTGAATGACCTTCATGTCTTTAAGTAATGAAGGCTGTCGTTTCGCTTTGCTTATTTGAGCTGTTCTTGCCATAATATGGACTTGGTATTTTACCAAATAGGGCTATCTTCTGTATACCCCCCCTACTTTGTCACAACACAACTGATTGGTTCAAACGCATTAAGAAGGAAAGAAATTCCACAAATTAACTTTTAAGATGGCACACCTGTTAATTGAAATGCATTCCAGGTGGCTACATCGTGAAGCTGGTTGAGAGAATGCCAAGAGTGTGCAAAGCTGTCAAGGCAAAGGGTGGCTATTTGAAGAATCTCAAATATAAAATATATTTTAATTTGTTTAACACTTTTTTTGCATGATTCCATATGTGTTATTTCATAGTTTTGATGTCTTCACTATTATTCTACAATGTAAAAATAAAGAAAAACCTTTTGAATGAGTACGTGTTCTAAAACTTTTGACCGGTAGTGTATATGCATGCGTGTGTGTGCGCTGGAGGTACATTTTTACATTTACATTTTTGTCATTTAGCAGACGCTCTTATCCAGAGCGACTTACAGTTAGCGCATACATTATTTTATCGAACCCACAACCCTGGCGTTGCAAACACCATGCTCTACCAACTGAGCTACATCCCCTGCTGGCCATTCCCTCCCCTACCCTGGACGACGCTGGGCCAATTGTGCGCCGCCCCATGGGTCTCCCGGTCGCGGTCGGCTACGACAGAGGTAAGGGACTGGGGTTGTGAGGTAAGGGACTGGGTGGTGTGAGCGTGCATGGTCCTCTGTAGCTCAATTGGTAGAGCATGGCGCTTGTAACGCCAGGGTAGTGGGTTCGATCCCCGGGACCACCCATACGTAAAAATGTATGCGCACATGACTGTAAGTCGCTTTGGATAAAAGCGTCTGCTAAATGGAATATTATTATATGCGCTCGGCGACATTCGAGTTTGTCACTCAGATAGCATAACACGGTATAAATGTTGTTCTCTGCGCCCCATGACAAATGTGTAGGAAATGTAGCTTTAAAACAGCCAAAAACAATCTCTCTGGCCAAGAGGCAGGCATCTAAAGAATGCCATTGGCTTCGCCCACTACCACGCACCCCATGCTAACTTTGCCAGCACTGTTGAAAAATATCCTAGGGGGAAGCACTGCACACACTCTTCTCTACCTACAGGAGTTGCAGTTGGAGCATGCACGCCAGGCCTTTGCCCAGAAGGACAAGAACAGGAGCGGCACCATCTCTGCCATGGACTTCAGTGACATCATGGCCACAATCCGACACCACATGCTTACAACGTTTGTGGAGGAAAACCTGGTTTCGGTAAGAGAGAGGAAGTGTGTACTGCGTATATGATCGTGTGTGGGATAAGAGTGAGTCAGTGTGTAACCCCTTCCTCTGTGTGATTGTCCTCCCAGGCTGCGGGGGGCAGCACCTCTCACATGGTCAGCTTCTCCTACTTCAACGCCTTCAACTGTCTGCTCAACAACATGGAGCTGATCCGCAAGATCTACAGCACACTGGCCGGGACTCGCAAGGACACACAGGTCACTAAAGGTAACACACATGCGCACCTTGCCGATACAGGCACTAATGTATACCCACGCACATATTCCCATCGTATACCCTTCCACACACACATTCACTGTACTGACACACGCACACTGGTCAGAAGTGCTCCAGACATGTGAGAGGAGTAGTGTGATCACACTTGCCAGTCGTCTGTTAGCTGCCAGCAGGAGAACTGTCATGTTGAAGAGAGAATTGACAAGATCTCGCAATCTCTCTGTAGGATGTGTGGATGCACAGCATGTGTGTTATGCAGACTATTAACCCATCTTTCTCTCACTCTCGCACCCTCACTCTGCCTCTATCGCCATCTCTCTAGAGGAGTTTGTCCATGCTGCTAACAAGTTTGGCCAGATCTCTCCCATGGAGATCGACATCCTGTACCAGCTATCAGGCCTACACTCCCACTCTGGGTAAAAACACACACAAACCGCTTAAGCCTTGTACTGTATGCATGCATACCTGTTCAGAGTGTTGTGGCAAACCAGAATGTTGTGGTAATGATGCGGTGTTGTGTCTCAGGCGTCTGAACTTTGCTGACATTGAGAGGATAGCCCCACTGGAGGAGGGAGCGCTACCCTACCACCTGGCTGAGATACAGAAACAGGTAAGAGACGTGCATTTGTGTGTGACTGCGCGTGAGTGAGTGAGTGAGTGAGCGAGCGAGCGAGCGTGCATGTCAAACACTTTCTCTCTCCCTCTCTGTCCCTCTGTAGCAGAGCCGTGGTGATGGTTCCAGGTCCGTGCTGCTGCAGGCTGCAGAGTCGGCCTACCGGTTCAGCTTGGGCTCCATCGCTGGAGGTAAGGGACTGGGGCTGTGAGGTAAGGGACTGGGTGGTGTGTGGTAAGGTATGGCGGTTATTGCTAGTACTTTTGAATACTTTCATGGAATATATCCACCCCCCCCCCCCCCTCCCAAAAAAAGTTACTTGGTTAAAAAAGGTTTTGCCTAGTTTCAATAGTACAGTTAGGTGTGTGTGTGTGTAGCTACGGGAGCCACGGCGGTGTATCCTATAGACCTGGTGAAGACCAGGATGCAGAACCAGAGGAGTACAGGCTCGTTCGTTGGAGAGCTTATGTACAAGAACAGCTTTGACTGTGCCAAGAAGGTGCTGCGCTACGAAGGCTTCTTCGGCTTCTACAGAGGTACGGACGGACACTGTGTGTGTGTGTGTTCTTGGCTGCTCTCCTTTCTTCCCCTCTTGGCTGCTGTTTTCCTCCCCATCCTTCTCTTCTGCTCTTTCTCTCTTTCCTTCCCTCTTTTCTCCTGGTCCTCGTCTTTTTTTTTATTGCCTGCTCTCTTTTCCCTTTCTGCACTGCACTTCCCTTTCTGCACTGCACTTCCCTTTCTGCACTGCACTTCCCTTTCTGCACTGCACTTCTCTCTCCTTCTCTGCTGTCTCTTCTGTTGATGGAAAAAGGACTGCATCATTGTTGGCTCACCCACACTGCATCACTAAACCTGCCTCCGGCCATTCAGTTCTTCCTTTGTTCTTTCATTCTCACCTTTCCTTCATCCTCATCCTCACACTCTTTTCTCCTCCCTTCTGCCCTAAGAAACTGTTGTCATAATGAGACGTGGTTCATGTCATATGTGGACTCAATCTCCCATGCTGCCCTGCAGGTCTTCTTCCCCAGCTCATAGGCGTGGCTCCAGAGAAGGCAATCAAACTTACGGTGAGTCAAACTCCTCCCCCTCCACTCAGCCAATCACTATGGACATGCACCTTAAGATAACACTTATTCTGTCAAAACATTCCTGACTATTCTCTCTGTAGTATTTATTTGCTGATTTTTCTCTCTCTCCCTCTCTCTCTGTTCCCCCTCTCTCCCTGTAGATGAATGACTTTGTGAGAGATAAGTTCACTGGTAAAGACGACACCATTCCCTTCGCTGCTGAGGTGTTGGCCGGAGCCTGTGTGAGTATGACAGATGACCAAACCTGTTCCTGTCAAACTTCCCAACTCTAAACGCATCCCATTCTATTCCACCCAGTCCTACCTAAATAGGAGGCTGGGGTAGCCTCCCTCCCTCATTCCATCTCTTTCTCACTCATTTCACCTTATGTCTGCCTCTCTGCAGGCAGGGGGTTCCCAGGTGATCTTTACTAACCCACTGGAGATAGTCAAGATCAGACTGCAGGTGGCAGGAGAGATCATAACAGGACCCAGAATTAGCGCCCTCGGTGTCATCCGAGACCTTGGCTTGTTCGGCCTCTACAAGGTAGGTGTGTGTGTGGCCATTACGTCTGGTGGCGTTGTTCTTGTATTTTGGTAAACAAAGGCCTTTTGATTGAAAGTAATGTCTTTCATTTACTCCTCGTGTGTGTGTGTGTAGGGTGCTAAAGCATGTTTATTGAGAGACATCCCGTTCTCAGCCATCTTCTTCCCAGTGTACGCCCACACCAAGGCTCAGTTTGCTGACGAGCAGGGTAGACTAGGCCCGTTACAGCTGCTAGCTTCTGGAGCCATCGGAGGTACACACACTTCACAGACCTACTCAGAGTTTCTATTAAATTCCATTTCATTTGATTTGATTGTCAAAAACAGTCACTCAGGTCACACCCTTTCTGACTCCATTTCCCAGGTATCCCTGCTGCCTCCCTGGTGACACCTGCTGATGTCATCAAGACGCGCCTGCAGGTAGCAGCGAGGGCGGGACATACCACCTACACTGGAGTCACGGACTGTTTCAGGAAAATCATGCAGGAGGAGGGATTCAGAGCACTGTGGAAGGGAGCTGGAGGTGTGTGTGTGTGTGTGTGTGTGTGTCAAAGTGACTACACAAGTGGGAATTCACTTACGCTCTCTCTCTCTCCCCAGCTCGTATGTGTCGATCCTCTCCTCAGTTTGGGGTGACTCTGGTGACCTACGAGCTTCTACAGAGGTGGTTATATGTGGACTTCGGAGGACAGTGAGTACACACACACACTCCCCACTGTTATAACTCAAGTTACCATTGTTAGTTAAGCTGCAATGTCTCATATTTCCCTGCATCTTTCTCCAGTCGTCCGGCAGGGTCTGAGCCCACTCCTAAATCTCGTATCTCTGAGCTTCCTCCGGTCAGTGCTGACCACGTGGGAGGCTACCGTCTGGCCGCAGCCACCTTCGCTGGCATGGAGAACAAGTTTGGCCTCCACCTGCCCAAGTTCAAGTCCTCTGGAGTGGTCTCCATACATCCTGACCCCTCTTCTGCCCCCCCTCAAGATGAGGCTGCCGCCCCTTGAAGACTGGCCCTCTTACTACCACTAAGACTGGCCACCACCACTCCACTAAGGGCTATGCACTTAGACACACGCAACAGAAATACATACTGATAAACACACTCATTTTGAGGGGCCATGTACACCGAAATACACGCACACTCCTAGGGGCCATGTACACAGACATACACCCAAACACCCCAGGGTCTCCTCTAGTGGTCTAACCCTGGTCCTGGAGAGCTGACTGTAGGTCCATTGTCAAAGCAGTCAGTAAACCTGAACACTGTACTGTTGTATCTCCAGTGGCTACATGCTCCTCTCCTTTTCCATTCCACTTTTCACATGAAAACAGTGGTTTGAAGGGAGTCTTATCTCTCTCTTTCTCCCTCTATTCCTTTGCTTTCTCGCTCCCATTCCTCTCCATCTCTCTGGTGGCTCCTCTCTTCTCATGAATAACTGATTATCATTTTTTGGGGCTACTAGGATTGGACAGTGTGTAGCGGATATTTGATTGGACAGCATCTGTAAGGCTTTACTCTGAGTGGGCATTGCACAGGAAGTTACTGTAGATCTGCTGTACAGAGACGCGACACAGCTGGAAAGGAAAATTATTACTGTGATGTTAGAGAGCAATATTAATGTAACATTGGAGAACAATGTTATGGTAATGTTAGAGCAACACCATGACAATGATAGATACGTTTTTTAATGTAATGTTAAGCAACGTGACAGTAATGTTGGAGTTAATGTTACGTTAGAATGACGTTGGGTCTCTTGAGAATCACTTACTGATGTACAGACCTTTTCAACAGTGTTTACTGAGGAGAATCATGGGCAAAGGATTAGATAACTTAAATGCATTTAGTGTATTTTATTGAAATAAATAAATCATATGGTTTAATTTTACACACCTGACAGTATTTTATTTCAAGGAGAATGAACAGCAAAAATGGCCAACCAAAACCTAACCAATAGTTTTGTGGAAAACTAGACATGGTCACTTCATGTCATACAGATAAAATGTTATCAATATTTCGAACAAAATAAATTGGATACAGACCATATCTATACAGAGTTTGGCAAACTCCAACAGAGAATTTGTAATGGACAATGTTCTGACAAAAGTCTAGTTGGAATGCTAATTAGAATGTGGTGCCAACATGGAGGATAGTTTGCCAAATTCTGCATGTATCTATGGCTCTGCTTAGGTCCACATCTTCATATGAGGAAAGACTTCTTTACTCATCCTTTCAGGAAGGAGAAATTAACTGTTTTTCTATTGAGAGACCTACTAGTACAGTACATTTAAAAAGAAAAATGTATAACTTTGGTTCATGATAACTAAAATATTCAGTCAGCGTCATAACTTCAAGTAAAGTTCATTTAAAAAGCACCTTTTTTGTTGTGTAGTGTTAATGTTAAGGGATATATTAGTAACGCTAGCTGCAGAAAAATGTAATGTTTAAAATACAGTGCATTTGGAAAGAATCCAGACCCTTCCCTTTTTCCACATTTTGTTACATTAGCCTTATTTTAAAATAGGTTAAATAAAATAATTATCAATCTACACACAACCCCATAATGACAAAGGGAAAACAAGTTTTTATAAATGTTTGCAAATGTATACTTTATTTATTTACATAAGTATTCAGACCCTTTGCTATGAGACTCGAAATTGAGCTCAGGTGCATCCTGTTTCCATTGATCATCCTTGATGTTTCTACAACTTGATCGGAGTCCACCTGTGGTAAATTCAATTTATTGGACATGATTTGGAAAGAAACACACCTGTCTATATAAGGTCCCACAGTTGACAGTGCATGTCAGAGCAAAAACCAAGCCATGAGGTCGAAGGAATTGTCCGTAGAGCTCCGAGACAGGATTGTGTCGAGGCACAGATCTGGGGAAGTTTAGCAAAACATGTCTGCAGCATTGAAGGTCCCCAAGAACACAGTGGCCTCCATCATTCTTAAATGGTAGAAGTTTGGAACCACCAAGACTCTTCCTAGAGCTGGCTGCCCGGCCCAACTGAGCTATCGGGGGAGAAGGGCCTTGGTAGGGGAGGTGACAAGGAACCCGATGGTCACTTTGACGGAGCTCTACAATTCCTTTGTGGAGATGGGAGAACCTTTCAGAAGGACAACCATCTCTGCAGCACTCCACCAATCAGGCCTTTATGGTAGTGGCCAGACGGAAGCCAGTCCTCAGTAAAAGGCACATGACAGCCCGCTTGGAGTTAGCCAAAATTCTCTGGTCTGATGAAACCAAGATTGAACTCTTTAGCCTGAATGCCAAGTGTCACGTCTGGAGGAAACCTGGCACCATCCCTACGGTGAAGCATGGTGGTGGCAGCATCATGCTGTGGGGATGTTTTTCAGCAGCAGGGACTGGGAGACTAGTCAGGATCGAGGGAAAGATGAACAGCGCAAAGTACAGTGAGATCCTTGATGAAAACCTGCTCAGGACCTCAGACTGGGGCAAAGGTTCACCTTCCAACAGGACAACGACCCTAAGCACACAGCCAAGACAACGCCGGAGTGGCTTCGGGACAAGTCTCTGAATGTCCTGGCCCAGCCAGAGCCCGGACTTGAACCCGATCGAACATCACTGGAGAGACCTGAAAAAAGCTGTGCAGCAACGCTCCCCATCCAACCTGAGCTCAGTTGGTAGAGCATGGCGCTTGCAACGCCAGGGTTGTGGGTTCGTTTCCCACAGGGGGGCCAGTATGAAAATGTATGCACTCACTAACTGTAAGTCGCTCTGGATAAGAGCGTCTGCTAAATGACTACAATGTAAAAATGTAAAGAATGGGAGAAACTCCCCAAATACAGGTGTGCCAAGCTTGTAGCGTCATACCCAAGAAGACTCAAGGCTGTAATCGCTGCCAAAGGTGCTTCCAACAAAGTACTGAGTTAAGGGTCTGAATACTTATGTTAATGTATTTATTGTATTTTTTTGCACAAATATCTAAAAACCTGTTTTTGCTTTGGGTATTGTGTGTAGATTGAGGGGGGAATTTAGTCCATTTTAGAATAAGGCTGTAGCGTAACAGGTTAAGGGGTCTGAATACTTTCGGAATGCACTGTATGTGCAACCGAATGTGATATAAAAGCATAGATAAATAAAATTGTAGCTAAAATCTGAGGACATGGCTGTCCTTGTCTATGAAGGTTGGAATGGGCATAGCATGGGTCATATTTTTCTGTTCTTCACCATCAGTTTAACACACAGTCAGCCCATAGGCAATATACACACATCTGGAAAATGAATAAATACAAGCTACAAAGTAGTAAAACGGTATAACGTTTTGCATATTTAGAAAAAGACTTGAGTTGGAAGAGCTGTGGACGGAACACTGTCGACGTTCTAGAACCCTGAGGGATAAACATCACACCTGCTCCAACTGAAGGGAGGGACGATTTGGAAGCAAGAGAGGAGTGGTCCCCAAAGTTACCCTGTTACCATGGTGATCAGGCGACTAGGCGCTGAGCGGCGAGCTCATCTCCTTCGTCTCGGTTCTCGTTGATCTCCACGAGCGTGTGCATGAAACGGGTCCACTCATCTGCCTTGGGCACAAAGATCTGCTGTGGAAACGAGAGAATATACACACAGGTATGACATGTACAGTATATCAAGAGCTTCAATATAAGGGATGAATCTCTCACCTCTCCTACGTCGTAGACCAGCACCTGCCCGTCTGAGTCTCCTGTAGCGATCTCTCTCCCTGAGTGAGACCACCGCACACGGTTCAGAGCAGGACACCCATCCACAACCACACTGGCACTGGGCACCTAAGACACACACACAATGTTTGTTGCATTGTTCATAAGCATATCTGTTGTTTTGTACTGTGTGTATAAATGTGTGTGTACCTCTGTGTCGTCGTTGAGGTTCCACAGGTCCAGCCGTCCTGATCCGTCCACACAGGCGAAGAGGGCAGGGTGAGTGGGAGACCACATGACATCATACACATAGTCACAGCTGTCCTCAAACGAATACAGAGGACGGGTACTCTACAGAGAGACGGGGAGAAAGGGTAAGTGTGTGTCGCCACAACGCATAGTAACCGGTGCCAGTAACAACAAGCCCTGGCCACAGGATGAACCATTCCTGCCCCCACTGCCACAAGATCTGCAGGTCATGGATCGACCGGTTTAGCCACCTCCGGACCCATGGCCAGCCAGACCCACACAACAACCCGGACTCGTGACACCTGGAGGGAGATCCCAGAAGAGAAGTGTGTGTGTTACCTTGGTGGTCCAGAGCTTAACGGTCCAGTCGAAGGAGGCAGAGATGAAGAGATGGGAGAAATCCACAGGACCCCCGGCACTGTGACAGCTCAGCCCAGTGACTGGACCATGGTGCCCCTCAAACACCTCACTGATGCCTGCCTTACTGTAACACACACATACACAATGTTATAACACACACACATTGGTGTTGGCCACAAAGCAAAGTTATTAACACACACACACACACACATACCTCCCGTGGCGGCAGGCGGTGTAGACTGATCCATCTTCACTCCCGACTACGAAGTTATTGACGTCACCCAGAGGAAACGCCATTGAGGTCACTGCTACTGCCTTAGACTGCTTAAACACCAGCTCCAGGCTGTCCTGTAACACACACACACACAGCGTTAAGACTGCCAAAACACTAGCTTCGCAATGTCCTAGAACACACACACACACACACACACACAGCGTTAAGACTGCCAAAACACTAGCTTCGCAATGTCCTAGAACACACACACACACACACAGCGTTAAGACTGCCAAAACACTAGCTTCGCAATGTCCTAGAACACACACACACACACACACACACACACACACACACACACAGCGTTAAGACTGCCAAAACACTAGCTTCGCAATGTCCTAGAACACACACACACACACACACACACACACACACACACAGCGTTAAGACTGCCAAAACACTAGCTTCGCAATGTCCTAGAACACACACATACACACACACACTGCAGTAGTACCTGTGGTTGAGACAGCATGTCTAGGCTCCAAGAACACATCTTTCCGTCAGTAGAAATGCTGATGAGGTTGTGAGCGTTTTGGGTCCCGACCATGTTCACACAGTTCACCGGGTGCTGAATATCACAGGACACGTTAGAAATGGGTGATGTTTCGATTTAGCTAACATGACACAGTTCAGTCTATATTTAGCTAATAGTAGCTTGCACCTGTAAGATAATATGTAAACAATTTCACATTTTGAAAGCTATTGAGCACTCAATGTAGAAAAAGTATGTGGACACCTGCTTGTCGAACATCTCATTCCAAAATCATGGGCATTAATATGGAGTTGGTCCCCTCTTTGCTGCTAGAACAGCCTCCATGCTTCTGGGAAGGCTTTCCACTAGTTGTTGGAACATTGCTGCGGGGACTTGCTTCCATTCAGCCACGAGCAATAGTGAGGTCGGGCACTGATGTTGGGCGATTAGGCTCGCAGTCGGCATTCCAATTCATCCCAAAGGTGTTTGATGGGGTTGAGGTCAGGGCTCTGTGCAGGCCAGTCAAGTTCTTCCACACCGATCTCGACAAACCACTTCTGCATTGTGATGCTGAAACAGGAAAGGGCCTTCCCCAAACTGTTGCCACAAAGTTGGAAGCACAGAATCATCTAGAATGTCATTGTATGCTGTAGCGTTAAGATTTACCTTCACTGGAACTAAGGTGCCTAGCCCAAACCATGAAAAACAGCCCCAGACCATTATTCCTCATCCATCAAACTTTACAGTTGGCACTTTGCATTGGGGCAGGTAGCGTTCTCCTGGCATCCGCCACACCCAGTTTCGTCCGTCGGATTGCCAGATGGTGAAGCGTGATTCATCACTCTAGAGAACGAGTTTCCAATTGTGGCGAGCTTTACACCACTCCAGCCGACACTTGGCATTGCGCATGGTGATCTTAGGCTTGTGTGCGGCTGCTTGGCCATGGAAACCTATTTCATGAAGCTCCCGACGAACAGTTCTTGTGCTGACGTTGCTTCCAGGCGTAGTTTGGAACTCGGTAGTGAGTGTTGCAACCAAGGACAGATGATTTTTACGTGCTTCAGCACTTGCCGGTCCCGTTCTGTGAGCTTGTGTGGCCTACCACTTCGCGGCTGAGCCGTTGTTGCTCCTAGACGTTTCCACTTCACAGTAACAGCACTTACAGTTGACCGGGGCAGCTCTAGCAGGGCAGAAATTTGACGAACTGACTTGTTGGAAAGGTGGCATCCTATGACGGTGCCACATTGAAAGTCACTGAGCTCTTCAGTACGGGCCATTCTACTGCCTATGGTGTGTCTATGGAGATTGCATGGCTGTGTGCTCCATTTTATACACTTGTCAGCAACGGGTGTGGCTGAAATAGCCGAATCCACTAATTTGAAGGGGTGTCCACATACTTTTGTAGTGTATATGAGTTACCGTGTGAGCGGATGCAGACAGGGGAGTTCTCTGTACAGATGTTCTTTTGTTGCTCCTGTTGTCCCATAGGACGATCTGGCCTGAGTAAGTCCCACCCACAATCAGGTTAGGATGGAACCTGGCGAACGCCGCTGACATCACCGCAGACTGGGGAAGAGACACAGAGAAGGGAATTATATCCACAGAGTGGTGTGTGTTTGTGTGTGTACCTGGCAGTGGAAGGTGTTTGTGTGTACCTGGCAGTGGAAGGTGTTTGTGTGTACCTGGCAGTGGAAGGTGTTTGTGTGTACCTGGCAGTGGAAGGTGTTTGTGTATACCTGGCAGTGGAAGGTGTTTGTGTGTCCCTGGCAGTGGAAGGTGTTTGTGTGTACCTGGCAGTGGAAGGTGTTTGTGTGTACCTGGCAGTGGAAGGTGTTTGTGTGTACCTGGCAGTGGAAGGTGTTTGTGTGTACCTGGCAGTGGAAGGTGTTTGTGTGTACCTGGCAGTGGAAGGTGTTTGTGTGTACCTGGCAGTGGAAGGTGTTTGTGTATACCTGGCAGTGGAAGGTGTTTGTGTGTCCCTGGCAGTGGAAGGTGTTTGTGTGTCCCTGGCAGTGGAAGGTGTTTGTGTGTACCTGGCAGTGGAAGGTGTTTGTGTGTACCTGGCAGTGGAAGGTGTTTGTGTGTACCTGGCAGTGGAAGGTGTTTGTGTGTACCTGGCAGTGGAAGGTGTATTCGGGTGTGGTATTCTTATACTTCATATTCCAGACCAGAGCCACTCCGTCCGGCTCATGAGGAGCATCTTCATTGTTGTTGTAGGAGGCCACCAGCAGCTCAGGGTACTGAATCAAACAGCAGTCAGACAGCAGTCAAACAGAAGCTTATCAGGAGTCAAAGACACAGATTTTCATGACTCTAACAGAGAAACACAAGAGATTATATAACTCTTTAATCCAAATCATCACACACACTCTCCTACCTGAGGAGACCAGTCCAGACAGGTGACCACTCTGTTCTTGGACCAGCGCTCGTCAGAGAACACCCTACTGAGAGACATCTTAGCGCCCGCCTGCATCTCACTAAAAAGAAAGAAGACACGGAGAAATAAGAACGTACACTCTATAGTTGTGTGTTCTGGTTTGTGTGTGTCTCACCGCTCCTTGTCCTCCAGGTCTCGGCCACTGTAGTCGAAGCAGACGTCCACTCGTTCAGAGAGAGCCCGCTCTACAATCCTGCTCCCTCGATCGAAGAACGTCATGAACTCCTCAGAGTGGAGCAGGTGCATCTTCTCCTCTTCAGTCAGCTCCTTGGGAGGGGCTACACACACACACATGGATATCAGATGTGGTTTAGGCCAGGGCTGGTCAACTTACAGAGGTAGAAGGGTAAAGTCAATCTCACCTTCTTCCTGCTTCTCCTCCTGATCAGCTTCCTCCTCCTGGGTGTCCTCTGCTGGCTTGGGATCGACCATCTCTTCCTCGTCTTCCTCTTCTGCTACACACACGCACGCACACACGTACAACATAATGCTCATAACAACACAACATACATGAAAACATTAAAAGTCTGTAGAATTGCCGATAACCCATAAAACACAACGTTGACCTGGTTTAGCCTGGGTGTGTGTTGGTGTATCAGCGGGGGTCTGTGTCTCCTTAGAGTAGGACACCATCTCTTTTGGAGGGAAATCCACCTGGGTCACCTTTGCCATGCCAAGCCTCAAACCTCGCCTGGACAGGAGACACCCACATAGTCAGAGAGACACATACCAACTTAAAAACACAGCCACACCATTATAGACTCTCTCTCACTCCACATCCAAACACACCATTACAAAGACAAACACTTTATCGGTGCTAGCAGACAGCAATGTGTATGATGCAAACAGGGGCCATTCAGGCCCAACAAAGAAATGAACAAGAGGAACAGAAGAGAGGAGCAAAACCACAGCCCAAGTAGGGGCATGTGTCTTATAGAGTAAGAAAGAGGTGAACAGTACCTCAGTAGTTCAAAGTCAGAGTGCAGCTGCAGATTAGAGGGGTCAGGATCCCAGTGTAACGTCCTGATTCAGCCACAACACACCACCAGGGGGTAGCAGTTAGTCACACAGAGAGAGAGAGGGGAGAGAGGAAGCGAGAGAGATGGAGAGAGAGAAACAAAAAGAGAAAAGAACAGGGAGTGAGAGAGGAGAGAGCGGGAAGAGCGAGTGTTAGTAACACAGAGAAAGAGAGAAAGCAGGCAGGTCAGAATTTACACACAAGTAAATTGGGCATGCAAGTACTTATTCACAAATACACAAACACACACACGTACCTGGTGTTTCCATCTCCGGAGTCCTGGCTTCTAGACTCGCTGCCCACTGACTTGGCTGAGGGAGACATAGGGGTAGGGACTAGATAGTGAAATGGACACGCATCCTCTGTTATTATCCTCAGAGGCTGGGCTGTGTGAGGGTGTGTGGGTGGGGGGAGTCAAAGAATGAGGGAGTGAATGAGTGAGTGAGTCAGTTGGTAGTAAATGAAGGGAGAGAAGAAGAGAGAAGAAAAAGTAGGGGACTGTCAGGAACGTTGAGAGACGGGTCAGACCAAGGTGCAGCGTGAAAAGCGTACATGTTTATTTAACTTAATAAACAAAAACAAGAAACAACGTAACGTGAAGTCCTCAGGCTATACACATACAAGCCTAAACACGGAACTGAACCTAAACCCCCCCCCCCCCAAAGGTGCGTACTCTGGCCGCACCAACCTGACTCATTAGGGTAGGGTCCGGATCCGGCTCCGGGCGTGACAACCTCTCCCTCTCTGCCTCCCCGTTGCGCCCCTGGTCTGGTCTGGACCTCTGCGCGATGCGTCCCCTCTCCTTCCTCCCATGATGCACCAAGCCCTGTCTGGACGCTGGTGTGGGAGACCCCGAACCTGGAGAGGGGCTGACGTCTGGGCCTGGATCGGCAATCCTCCCCCGATGCACCAAGCCCTGTCTGGACCCTGGTGTGGGAGGCCCCGACCCTGGAGAGGGGCTGACTTCCGGGTCTGGAGTGGAGCCGCTGACCGGAGCTGAACTGGACCCCGGTGGAGCGGACTGCTCTGGCTCCGGAGTGGAACCGCTGACCGGAGCTGGACTTGGCACCGGTGGAGCGGACTGCTCTGACCCCGGAGTGGAACCACTGACTGGAGCTGGACTGGACACCGGTGGAGCGGACTGCTCTGACTCCGGAGTGGAGCAGCTGAACGGTGCTGGACCAGGCACCGGTGGAACGGGCACGGGCCGGGCCGGACTGGGAACACGCACCACTGGTCTGGTGCGAGGAGCAGGAACGGGCCGGGCCGGACTGGAGACACGCACCACAGGTCTGGTGCGAGGAGCAGGAACGGGCCGGGCCGTACTGGGGACACGCACCATTGGTCTGGTGCGAGGAGCAGGCACGGGCCGGGCCGGACTGGGGACACGCACCACTTGTCTGGTGCGAGGAGCAGGAATGGGCCGGACTGGGGACACGCACCACTGGTTTGGTGCGAGGAGCAGGGACGGGCCGTACTGGACTGGATACACACACCACTGATTTGGTGCGGGGAGCAGGTACGGGGCGTACCGGACTGGCGACACGCACCACTGGTTTGGTGCGGGGAGCAGGTACGGGGCGTACCGGGCTGGCGACACGCACCACTGGTTTGGTGCGGGGAGCAGGTACGGGGCGTACCGGGCTGGCGACACGCACCACTGGTTTGGTGCGAGGAGCTGGCACGGGCCGTACCGTACTGGATACACGCACCACTGGTTTGGTGCGGGGAGCAGGTACAGGGCTTACCGGGCTGGTGAGGTGCACTGATGATACAGTGCGTAGAACCGGAGCAGGATATACTGGACCGTGGAGGCGTACTGGAGGTCTGGAGTGTACAGCTGGCACAACCCGTCCTGGCTGGATGCCCACTTTCGCACGACACGTGCGGGGCGCTGGCACAGGACGCACTGGGCTGTGAACGCGCACTGGCGACACAGTGCGTATCTCTGCATACCTAGGTTCCTCTATGAACCCACGCTCCTTCTGTTGCCTGACCAGCTCCTCTCTCCTTGCCTCCACTACTTCCTTCTCCCTTTGAGCATCCTGTAGCGCCTCCCTCTGAACGGATAACTCTTGCTCCCTCTGAGTTAACAGCTCCCGTAACGTGGTGGCCTCCTCTCTCAGACTCTCGATCCGCAGGTCTTGGAGGACCTCTAGAATAGTGGCCTCCTCCTCTCTAGTCAGCCCTTTCCCGGCCTCCTGCTCTCTCGTCGTCCACCCCGTGAGCCCCCCCAAAAAAATGTTTTGGGGCTGCTACTCGGGCTTCCTCTTCGGCCGGCAACGTTGATGTCGCCGTTGATCCTCTCCTGCCTGGGCTTCCTCCTTCGCCCAGGGTCCTTTACCTGCCAATATCTCCTCCCAAGTCCAAAATGACTTCCCCTCCTGTGTCCGGTGTGTCTGCTGCTCCTGGGCACGCTGCTTGGTCCGTTTTTGGTGGGATCTTCTGTCACGAACGTTGAGAGACGGGTCGGACCAAGTTGCAGCGTGAAACGCGTACATGTTTATTAACTCAAATAAACACAACAAAACCAGAAAACAACGTAACGTGAAGTCCAAAGGGCTATACACATACCAGCCTAACAGGAACAAGATCCCACAATACAGTATGATCCCCAATCAGAGACAACGAGCAACAGCTGCCTCTGATTGGGAATCACACCCGGCCAAACATAGAAATAGAACAACTAGAACTTAAACATAGAAAATACAACAGATTTCCACACCCTGACTCGACAAACAAGAGTTCCATACGTCAGGGCGTGACAGGGACAAGTGGCATGCTGAGGCTTCATGCAAAAAGGCTTGTTAAAAAACAAAACAGTGTGTGTCCGTGTGTGTGTGTGTGTCTGTGTGTGCGTGTGTGTCCTTACCGTTGGGTATATCAGAGGTGATCCCCATGCTCTCCAGCAGAGCCTCAGCCTCTCTCCTCTTCTTCTCCAGGTCAGAAGAGTCATCTGGTGCACCAACTCCACCCCCCTCCCCTCCCCACTTAGAGTCAGACCCCTACAGGGGGAGAGAGTGGAAGGGGGGAGAGAGAGAATGGGTAGAAAAGGAGAGGTAGCGTGAGAGGGATCCGTTGAATTGGAGAGACAGGGAGACAGATAATGTAATAAATACAATATAACCATGTATAAATACTGCATAGGCTATTACATGACACTGTAATAATAATAATATACTAATATTTATTTTACTTGTATTTATTCAAGGGAGCCCAATTGAGACCAGGGTCTCATTCTCAATGGTGCCCTGAGAACAAACAAATCAACATGATAATTCAATAAAACCGCAAAAGAAAAATAACCACAAGATACAGAAGATGCACTACATTTAAACAACACAAATTAATATATTACAATCAACCAAAAAACTCGCAAACTTCAGTGAATTCATTCCTCATCAGCGTTCTAAACTGCCCTATTGTCACCAGGGATTCAAGATGTAATGAGGATTGTAAATTATTACAAACATAGGTGATGTTAAAACTAAAGGCTGATTTACCTAGGTTGGTAGAGACACAAGGGACTTCAAGTGTTTTTTTTTTTTTTTAGGGGGTAGATCAGCTTTAATATTGCAGATAGATTGTAACGTCCATCAATGTAATTGTCTGCATCACTTCCAATCTCCCATTTGGTTTTTTTCCTCGCAAATATATATATGCATATATATATACACTGCTCAAAAAAATAAAGGGAACACTTAAACAACACAATGTAACTCCAAGTCAATCACACTTCTGTGAAATCAAACTGTCCACTTAGGAAGCAACACTGATTGACAATAAATGTCACATGCTGTTGTGCAAATGGAATAGACAACAGGTGGAAATTATAGGCAATTAGCAAGACACCCCCAATAAAGAAGTGGTTCTGCAGGTGGTGACCACAGACCACTTCTCAGTTCCTATGCTTCCTGGCTGATGTTTTGGTCACTTTTGAATGCTGGCGGTGCTTTCACTCTAGTGGTAGCATGAGACGGAGTCTACAACCCACACAAGTGGCTCAGGTAGTGCAGCTCATCCAGGATGGCACATCAATGCGAACTGTGGCAAGAAGGTTTGCTGTGTCTGTCAGCGTAGTGTCCAGAGCATGGAGGCGCTACCAGGAGACAGGCCAGTATAATCAGGAGACGTGGAGGAGGCCGTAGGAGGGCAACAACCCAGCAGCAGGACCGCTACCTCCGCCTTTGTGCAAGGAGGAGCAGGAGGAGCACTGCCAGAGCCCTGCAAAATGACCTCCAGCAGGCCACAAAAGTGCATGTGTCTGCTCAAACGGTCAGACACAGACTCCATGAGGGTGGTATGAGGGCCCGACGTCCACAGGTGGGGATTGTGCTTACAGCCCAACACCGTGCAGGACGTTTGGCATTTGCCAGAGAACACCAAGATTGGCAAATTCGCCACTGGCGCCCTGTGCTCTTCACAGATGAAAGCAGGTTCACACTGAGCACATGTGACAGACGTGACAGAGTCTGGAGACGCCGTGGAGAACGTTCTGCTGCCTGCAACATCCTCCAGCATGACCGGTTTGGCGGTGGGTCAGTCATGGTGTGGGGTGGCATTTCTTTTGGGGGCCGCACAGTCCTCCATGTGCTCGCCAGAGGTAGCCTGACTGCCATTAGGTACCGAGATGAGATCCTCAGATCCCTTGTGAGACCATATGCTGGTGCGGTTGGCCCTGGGTTCCTCCTAATGCAAGACAATGCTAGACCTCATGTGGCTGGAGTGTGTCAGCAGTTCCTGCAAGAGGAAGGCATTGATGCTATGGACTGGCCCGCCCGTTCCCCAGACCTGAATCCAATTGAGCACATCTGGGACATCATGTCTCGCTCCATCCACCAACGCCATGTTGCACCACAGACTGTCCAGGAGTTGGCGGATGCTTTAGTCCAGGTCTGGGAAGAGATCCCTCAGGAGACCATCCGCCACCTCATCAGGAGCATGCCCAGGCGTTGTAGGGAGGTCATACAGGCACGTGGAGGCCACACACACTACTGAGCCTCATTTTGACTTGTTTTAAGGACATTACATCAAAGTTGGATCAGCCTGTAGTGTGGTTTTCCACTTTAATTTTGAGGGTGACTCCAAATCCAGACCTCCATGGGTTGATAAATTTGATTTCCATTGATAATTTTTGTGTGATTTTGTTGTCAGCACATTCAACTATGTAAAGAAAAAAGTATTGAATAAGATTATTTCATTCATTCAGATCTAGGATGTGTTGTTTAAGTGTTCCCTTTATTTTTTTGAGCAGTGTATGTATATATATATATATACATACATACATACATACATACATACACATACACATACACATCCTTTAAAAAATATATATTTCCCTTTATTACTTTCCAACCCCACCAACCCTTCCCTAATTGTAGTAAACTAGTGAACAACAACGCTTAGGCCTCTATTTCCAGCTTATACATACTATATACATTTTATGGACACAGTCAATTTTACAATAATTCTATTTTGTTTGTTTTTACTCCTGAACTTCCTCTACCCTCAACCTCTCCGATCATTTTCATGATGTCCATCCGGTTTGCTTCTCAAATCAAATCAAATCAAATTTGATTGGCCACATGCGCCGAATACAACAGGTGCAGACATTACAGTGAAATGCTTACTTACAGCCCTTAACCAACAGTGCATTTATTTTTAACAAAAAAATAAAACTAAAACAACAACAAAAAAAGAGCAGAAGTAAAATAAAATAACAGTAGGGAGGCTATATATACAGGGGGGTACCGGTGCAGAGTCAATGTGCGGGGGCACCGGCTAGTTGAGGTAGTTGAAGTAATATGTACATGTGGGTAGAGTTAAAGTGACTATGCATAAATAATTAACAGAGTAGCAGCAGCGTAAAAGGATGGGGTGGGGGGGCAGTGCAAATAGTCCGGGTAGCCATGATTAGCTGTTCAGGAGTCTTATGGCTTGGGGGTAGAAGCTGTTGAGAAGTCTTTTGGACCTAGACTTGGCACTCCGGTACCGCTTGCCGTGCGGTAGCAGAGAGAACAGTCTATGACTAGGGTGGCTGGAGTCTTTGACAATTTTGAGGGCCTTCCTCTGACACCGCCTGGTATAGAGGTCCTGGATGGCAGGAAGCTTGGCCCCAGTGATGTACTGGGCCAAACGCACTACCCTCTGTAGTGCCTTGCGGTCGGAGGCCAAGCAGTTGCCATACCAGGCGGTGATGCAACCAGTCAGAATGCTCTCGATGGTGCAGCTTTAGAATTTTTTTTGAGGATCTGAGGACCCATGCCAAATCTTTTCAGTCTCCTGAGGGGGAATAGGCTTTGTCGTGCCCTCTTCACGACTGTCTTGGTGTGTTTGGACCATGATAGTTCGTTGGTGATGTGGACACCAAGGAACTTGAAGCTCTCAACCTGTTCCACTACAGCCCCGTCGATGAGAATGGGGGCGTGCTCAGTCCTCTTTTTTTTTCCTGTAGTCCACAATCATCTCCTTTGTCTTGGTCACGTTGAGGGAGAGGTTGTTATCCTGGCACCACACGGCCAGGTCTCTGACCTCCTCCCTGTAGGCTGTCTTCTATATGCCATACCATATCTTTCTAACTGTGCTCTTTCACAAAAGCTCTCAACCTATAACCTATATACTTATTATGCTTATTATGGACACAGTATGCTTACATTATTAGTTATCTTGTTGTTATTGGTTGTTGTTAGTTGTTATTACAGTGGGGGAAAAAAGTATTTAGTCAGCCACCAATTGTGCAAGTTCTCCCACTTAAAAAGATGAGAGAGGCCTGTAATTTTCATCATAGGTACACGTCAACTATGACAGACAAAATGAGAAAAAAAATCCAGAAAATCACATTGTAGGATTTTTAATGAATTTATTTGCAAATTATGGTGGAAAATAAGTATTTGGTCAATAACAAAAGTTTCTCAATACTTTGTTATATACCCTTTGTTGGCAATGACACAGGTCAAACGTTTTCTGTAAGTCATCACAAGGTTTTCACACACTGTTGCTGGTATTTTGGCCCATTCCTCCATGCTGATCTCCTCCAGAGTAGTGATGTTTTGGGGCTGTTGCTGGGCAACACTGACTTTCAACTCCCTCCAAAGATTTTCTATGGGGTTGAGATCTGGAGACTGGCTAGGCCACACCAGGACCTTGAAATGCTTCTTACGAAGCCACTCCTTCGTTGCCCGGGCGGTGTGTTTGGGATCATTGTCATGCTGAAAGACCCAGCCACGTTTCATCTTCAATGCCCTTGCTGATGGAAGGAGGTTTTCACTCAAAATCTCACGATACATGGCCCCATTCATTCTTTCCTTTACACGGATCAGTCGTCCTAGTCCCTTTGCAGAAAAACAGCCCCAAAGCGTGATGTTTCCACCCCCATGCTTCACAGTAGGTATGGTGTTCTTTGGATGCAACTCAGTATTCTTTGTCCTCCAAACACGACGAGTTGAGTTTTTACCCAAAAGTTCTATTTTGGTTTCATCTGACCATATGACATTCTCCCAATCCTCTTCTGGATCATCCAACTGCACTCTAGCAAACTTCAGACGGGCCTGGACATGTACTGGCTTAAGCAGGGGGACACGTCTGGCACTGCAGGATTTGAGTCCCTGGTGGCGTAGTGTGTTACTGATGGTAGGCTTTGTTACTTTGGTCCCAGCTCTCTGCAGGTCATTCACTAGGTCCCCCCGTTTGGTTCTGGGATTTTTGCTCACCGTTCTTGTGATCATTTTGACCCCACGGGGTGAGATCTTGCGTGGAGCCCCAGATCAAGGGAGATTATCAGTGGTCTTGTATGTCTTCCATTTCCTAATAATTGTTCCCACAGTTGATTTCTTCAAACCAAGCTGCTTACCTATTGCAGATTCAGTCTTCCCAGTCTGGTGCAGGTCTACAATTTTGTTTCTGGTGTCCTTTGACAGCTCTTTGGTCTTGGCCATAGTGGAGTTTGGAGTGTGACTGTTTGAGGTTGTGGATAGGTGTCTTTTATACTGATAACAAGTTCAAACAGGTGCCATTAATACAGGTAACGAGTGGAGGACAGAGGAGCCTCTTAAAGAAGAAGTTACAGGTCTGTGAGAGGCAGAAATCTTGCTTGTTTGTAGGTGACCAAATACTTATTTTCCACCATAATTTGCAAATAAATTCATAAAAAATCCTACAATGTGATTTTTTGGATTTTTTTTCTCAATTTGTCTGCCATAGTTGACGTGTACCTATGATGAAAATTACAGGCCTCTTTCATCTTTTTAAGTGGGAGAACTTGCACAATTGGTGGCTGACTAAATACTTTTTTTTCCCACTGTAGTCCCATCCTTCAACTCCATTCAACACCACCCATCTATCTCTTAACACCATCCATATTGGATTTCTATTTACCATATATTTTTCAACTGTATTGTGATGTTTTACAAAAGTTCTGAACCTTTCTATTCTCATTGTTTCTACAGATTGTAAATTGAAAATAAACATTTTTGCTAAAAGTATTATTATATTATTGATCGATTGACTATGACTTTTCAGATCACCCAGTAATGCTATCTGCAGGGTTAGCTCCAGGTAAATATTGCAATCCTTTAGCCATTCCTGGACCTGTGTCCAAAAACAAGCTACAAATGGACAGTACCAAAACAAATGATCTAATGATTCTGTCTCTTCGCAGCAAGATCTGCAGAGCTGGGAAGATTGTATCCCCCATATAAATAACATTATATTGGTTGCAAGAATTTTATATAATAATTTAAATTTAAAAATTCTAAGTTTTAAATCCGGCGTCGTTTTGCGTATCAGTTCATAAACACTATGCCATGGAATTGGTACGTCAAAAATCTCTTCCCAACTATTTTGCAATCTATACAGTGAGGGAAAAAAGTATTTGATCCCCTGCTAATTTTGTACGTTTGCCCACTGACAAAGACATGATCAGGCTATAATTTTAATTGTAGATTTATTTGAACAGTGAGAGACAGAATAACAACAAAAAAATCCAGAAAAACGCATGTCAAAAATGTTATCAATTGATTTGCATTTTAATGAGGGAAATAAGTATTTGACCCTTCTGCAAAACATGACTTAGTACTTGGTGGCAAAACCCTTGTTGGCAATCACAGAGGTCAGACTTTTCTTGTAGTTGGCCACCAGGTTTGCACACATCTTAGGAGGGATTTTGTTCCACTCCTCTTTGCAGATCTTCTCCAAGTCATGAAGGTTTCGAGGCTGACATTTGGCAACTCAAACCTTCAGCTCCCTCCACAGATTTTCTATGGGATTAAGGTCTGGAGACTGGCTAGGCCACTCCAGGGCCTTAATGTGCTTCTTCTTGAGTCACTCCTTTGTTGCCTTGGCCGTGTGTTTTGGGTCATTGTCATGCTGGAATACCCATCCACGACCCATTTTCAATGCCTTGGCTGAGGGAAGGAGGTTCTCACCCAAGATTTGACGGTACATGGCCCTGTCCATCGTCTCTTTGATGCGGTGAAGTTGTCCTGTCCCCTTAGCAGAAAAACACCCCCAAAGAATAATGTTTCCACCTCCATGTTTGACGGTGGGGATGGTGTTCTTGGGGTCATAGGCAGCATTCCTCCTCCTCCAAACACGGCGAGTTGAGTTGATGCCAAAGAGCTCGAATTTGGTCTCATCTGACCACAACACTTTCACCCAGTTCTCCTCTGAATCATTCAGATGTTCATTGGCAAACTTCAGACGGCCCTGTATATGTGCTTTCTTGAGCAGGGGGACCTTGCGGGCGCTGCAGGATTTCAGTCCTTCACGGCATAGTGTGTTACCAATTGTTTTCTTGGTGACTATGGTCCCAGCTGCCTTGAGATCATTGACAAGATCCTCCCGTGTAGTTCTGGGCTGATTCCTCAGCGTTCTCATGATCATTGCAACTCCACGAGGTGAGATCTTGCATGGAGCCCCAGGCCGAGGGAGATTGACAGTTATTTTGTGTTTCTTCCATTTGCGAATAATCGCAACAACTGTTGTCACCTTCTCACCAAGATGCTTGGCGATGGTCTTGTAGCCCATTCCAGCCTTGTGTAGGTCTACAATCTTGTCCCTGACATCCTTGGAGAGCTCTTTGGTCTTGGCCATGGTGGAGAGTTTGGAATCTGATTGATTGATTGCTTCTGTGGACAGGTGTCTTTTATACAGGTAACAAACTGAGATTAGGAGCACTCTCTTTAAGAGTGTGCTCCTAATCTCAGCTCGTTACCTGTATAAAAGACACCTGGGAGCCAGAAATCTTTCTGATTGAGAGGGGGTCAAATACTTATTTCCCTCATTAAAATGCAAATCAATTTATAACATTTTTGACATGCGTTTTTCTGGATTTTGTTGTTGTTATTCTGTCTCTCACTGTTCAAATAAACCTACCATTAAAATTATAGACGGGTCATTTCTTTGTCAGTGGGCAAACTTACAAAATCAGCAGGGGATCAAATACTTTTTCCCCTCACTGTATGGGACGGCTGTCATTCTTAAATGAAACTGGTATACTTTTTTATTTATCACAGTTTTCTTTAACCAATTATGTTCTTTAATGCAAGGCCGACAGACAAGTTCCTTACTTTTTCCCCCTTCCACTTTCCTCTTCCATTTTTGTGGTAATGCTGCAATTCTTTGGTTGTAATTTTGGGTAGAGCAGACATTTCCATATGTTTCTGTTAGCTGCATGTGCAACATGACTCCACCAGTCCTACCGATGAGATCCTTTACGAAGATTATACCTTTTTTAAACATTTTGTCAAAAAAAAAAAGTTTTTTTTATCAATTAGTATATTTGAGTTTAACCACAATATTTGTTGCATTATTTGTTCTGTTGTTTCTGGAGGATTACATTGAAATTGCAACCAACTTTCTATGGCTTGTTTTAGAAATAGTGATATTTGGGAGATGATTTCCTTTTCAAATAACTGAAAGTGAGAGGTTGTAATCTGAATAAAGTGTAAAAGGCCATTCTTGAACATTGGGTGATACGATCTTACTAATTTGCTAGAGAACCAGTTCAGATTTAAGTAGAACTTTTGTATGACTGAAGCTTTTAGTGATAGGTCTAATGTTTTAATATTTAATCATTTCTGTCCTCCGAATTCATATTCATTATATAGATTAGCCCGTTTAATTTTGTCTGGCATGCCGTTCCAAATAAATTTGACCATTTTTTTTTCTCATATAATTTAAAAAAGTGTTCACTAGGCGTAGGCAAGACCATAAGCAAATAGGTAAACTGGGATAATACTAAAGAGTTAATCAGGGTGATTTTCCCACAAATAGACAGGTATTTACCTGGTAGCAAGATCTTATCTATTTTTGCTAACTTTCTATTAGAATTTATTGGAGTGAGATCATTTATTTCATTTGGGATATGTATTCCGAGTATATCCATATCACCATCAGACCATTTTATTGGTAAACTACATGGTAATGTACATTTTTTATTTTTTAGTGATCCAATACGTAATATAGTACATTTATCATAATTTGGTTGTAATCCAGAGGTTAGAAAATGTATCTAGATCTTCTATGAGGCTGTGGAGGGATTCAAGTTGTGGATTTAAAAGAAAACATGAATCATCAGCTTACAATGACACCTTTGTTTTTAAGCCCTGGATTTCTAATCCCTTTTATTATTGTTGGATCTGATTTTAATAGCTAACATCTCGATGGCCATAATAAATAGATATGCCGATAGTGGACAACTATCGGCATATCTATTTTCCACTTGTATCCTGTTTCAGTAATAATGAAATCAGACCTTCTTCTTGAGTGTCTGATAATCTACCGTTTACACTCGCAAACTTCAGTGAATTGATTCCTCATCAGCGTTCTAAACTGCCCTATTGTCACCAGGGATTCAAGATGTAATGAGGATTGTAAATTATTCCAACCATAGGTGATGTTAAAACTAAAGGCTGATTTACCTAGGTTAGTAGAGACACAAGGGACTTCAAGAGTTAACTAACCCTGTAAGCGGGTTTGGTGCCTCTTATTTTTATACATTAACAGAGAAATGAGATATGTTGGAAGCTTGTCCAGCAGAGTTTTGTAAACAAAAGGGAAAAATGAAGTGATCTACAGGAATTTAGAGAGGTCCAGCCGACCTTCTGATAAAGGATGCTGTGATGAGTATTAAACCTGTCTCCTGTGGTAAAGCGAAGTGCGTTATAGTACACTGCATCCAAGGGTTTTAGAGTAGCGGCTGCTGCATTCTGATAAATAGTGTCACCGTAATTAAGAGCTGGCAGGAAGGTTGCCTGTACAACCTGCTGTTTAGGGAGAGGCATGATCGATTTCTAGAAAAGAACGCATAAATGTGTAAACCATCTGAAATATTTCTATGAGAATTAGAAAACAACATACATTTAGTTTTTCCAGCAATAACTAACCATTTCAAATCAACAAGGGCTTTCTGCAAGGCAACTAAATCAGATTGAAGCTCTAACATAGCCTGGTCAGCAGTAGAGGCGATAGCATACATAACAGTTTCATCTGCATACAGATGAATGTTACAGGGATGTGAGCCCCCACAACTCCTCTGCATCAAGCCAGCCATTAGCATGTTCTACTTCTCTTCTTTCTACTTACATCCTTCTTCTTGTTATTCTCTTCCTCCTTTCTCTTCTTTTCCTCTCTGATCTGGGCCAGGCGCTGTTTCTTCCTCTCCAGCTCTGCTTTCAGCTCACTCTTATCCTGCTTATCCGCCATGCTGCAAGAGAGAGGGAGAGAAAGGGAACAAGAGAAGTCAATATGAGTTTGAAGATCTAACTGCTTGTGTGTGTGTGTGTGTGTGTGTGTGTGTGTGTGTGATGGTAGCTGCTGGTGGTATCACACCGTAACCATGTGAACACAAGGGGATAACTGTTCATGACAATGTGTCCTTTATCTGTGTGTGACATGGAAAATAAGAAACAAAGTCTTATCTATGCCACGCCTATGTGTAGCTGGGTTGTTATATGTTGAACAACCGAATTCGGTCAGATCTTATCATGGGCAGAGCCGGGATAGAAATAACCCATACATTTCATATTGATTCATTTAGTCCTACTTTTTGTCCATTGATTCATGCAGCAGATAGAATCATGAGATTACAACATGAATCAAAGGTTTGTTATTAACAGTTCAGTGAACACCAAATTAATTAGGTGGTTTATTGGAAACGGGTTGAGCGGCACATTGAATGAATTGGTCACATCACATCTCAGTATGATCATCTGATTCTGCGAGAGCAGGAGCTTGCTCGCTGGCAAACAGTCATCATCTGAGTCATGCTCGATGCCAAACTAGCCAGCGACGGAGCACACTGACCGCATTAAAAGACGCAACCCTTCATTTGAACGCTGCTTCATTGTACAATAGTAATCTATTTATCCACAAGGCAATAATCTCCTTGCCATTCTTGCAAGGCAAGGGCGTTAGCTAAATAGCTAACGTTACAGCTAACCGGCGATAAACCTGAAAGTGACACTGACAGCTAACGTTAGCTAGCTAGCAAGCTAGCTAAATGCCACCAAACAGTCAGTATGTTTCACGGTGACCATCAGACATGATCAACTCGCGTATCACGTTTTTAAACTACTAAAACATGAAAGTAGCTAGTATTGCACTTACTTTATATAAACAATGCTTTAAATTAACTTAAATTCGCGTGGAGTTACAGTAGATAGCTAGCTAACAGTACAGTACTGGGTAAGTAGGTGATGGAACTGACAGCTCCCCAGGCCCAAACAATGATGATGTCAATCATAGGAAGTAAGGAATACCTTCCCCCCAGAATCTAATCTAAGGTCAGTTTTGTGTTTATCCCATCCTGGTTAAATCTGGAATTCGGGGTGGATAATCTGATTCTAGATCTGTGAACACCCGCAACTTCGACACAGATTAGTGCTATCTGGAATCCTTGGGACGTCCATAATCAACATCGCCTTAACCCTAACCGTATTTAACCATTTTTAAGGGACGTCCCAAAGATTCCAGATAGCAAAGACCTTTTAGCTACATGGATGGAAACTGAGGCAGGACAAAATTACATTTGAATAGCCTCATGTACCGCTAGATGGCGCCAATGGTTAATCTAAGATAGCAGATTGACCCTGGCTTGCTCTCATCAAGGAGTTATAGAATAATTCCCTGTAAACCCTGGCTCTCATCAACATTAAAAGCCTGGGGTCAACATGATATTCCAAGGTAGATCAGGTTTCAGACATCTATACTTTGGGGTCATCATGCTCTCTTTCTGATGTTACACGTCTTTGAGTTTGTATACATGTGTTATAACACGTGATTGATATGTGAAATAAGGAATTAGTGGATTCACATAGGACCAACTGTTGTTCAGTTAATTGCTTTGTACTTCTGCTAGAATGGATAAACTGTTATATCAACATAACTGTTGAGCAAGTATATGAACTATTTGTTTAGAGTTAAGGGTAGTGGGTTGGGGTAAGAGTTAAAGGTTGAAATTATGTTGGTTTGAAAGCGTTGTACTTTGATCTTCTGCTCAAGCATGGCCAGATACTGATGACCCCACGTTCCATTTCCACTTGCTCACTGCAGCTGCTTTTCAAAATGGCTGCCACCTCTCTCTATGCCTTTCTTATAGCCCAGCGGACATTTGATGCTCTTGGAATGCCCTGGCTCTGATCACATGGCAGCAAGCAGTAGTCTATGATCTCTTGCTCTCACTCTCGCACTACATTAATGAACTCAATTTCTATAGGGAATGACTGTCATGTTTATACAGCATAAACTGTAATGTTATTTCGGGCTCTTTGTGTGTGGATGGGAAGAGAAAGAGTGTGTGCGCTTCTGTTCAATCTACTGTACTTATTCAATATTCCTCTGTAACAATGACTGTACAGGGCTATCGTTCTGTTACCATGGAAACTCATCAGGTTACCATGCCTGAGCAGGTGCATATCGGTTGTGTGTCTGTGCCTCACTCGCTTTCTCCACCAAATAGAACCCGTTTCATACCCCCCCCCCCCCCCCCCCCCCCCCCCCCCGCCCAACATACACACTCTTTCTGCCCCCAAACTAAAAAACAAGCGCTCATTCTGAGAAAAAACATGAAATATTCACACGTTTCATTCAAGCCTGCAGATATGTATTCATAGATGGAAAACAGTGAGTTTAGTGATTGTGAATCTTATGCTTATCCTCTACTCCCAGAACTACTGTAGGCTCTCACACACTAACACATCACCACAAGAGTGAGTCTTTACTAAGTCGGGTGTGTGTGTGTGTGTGACAATCATCTTACCCCTACTCTATGATAACTTTGTACTGTCAGAATCAGAAAGGGTCTGTCTGTTGTTGTTACAAAGACAGAGCTCGGCAGCAGAACCCACTGTGAGTTTATTATTGTTCAGTCAGTGCCATTGACCTGCCTTCACCTGGTCGGCTCCATTGGGGTGTAAAGGGTTAAGTCATTCACCCAATGAACACAAACAAGTCCAAAGATAATGTGTGTGTGCATGTGTCCCTGTGTGCGTGAATTCCACAGTGATGTCACGAAAGCTTCACCACAACATAACATAGAGGCCTAGCTGCAGGCTGATGCATTGCACCAGATTTGGAACAAAGCATTTTCTCCATCTAGATCATATCACTGTCTTCCTGTTCCATGCATGTTCACCTCTTTCATTTTATAGGATGCCTTTTTAACATGTTCCAATACAACAAAACTCATGTTTTCAACTCACCGTGTGTAGTAGCAGAATTCAAGCATGCACACACACGCACACACAGCGAGTGAATATTTATAAATTGTGTAATACACATGGTAAGAATCATGTAAGAAACAATACGTTTCTAGCTATTCATTAAATATTGCTTTATCTCTGACACAGCCTGTGTAGCTAAACAAATCCTAACATCTGAAAATGCATGTATGCCTTTTAGGCTACTTAATGTGTGGCCTATACCTAAAGGCATTCATCTATCTCTATGTATTAAATAATAAGGAACACCTATTTAGTCATATTGAATTTTGTTTTTAGCCTCTACTATTTAATTATATATTTTGTATGTGAGAGGAGGAGAGATGAACTTGTGTCTTTCGGCCATTTTTGGGGTGTCGCTTCATTGTTTCGCGTCATCTCATCCACAGCACGAGCTAGGTGTGCGCAAATAATAGATATATGTTCAGTAGAACTTTTGTCCCAAACATTTTTGGGTGGTACACTTTTGGTAGCTGATCATCTCAGATCTGTATATTTAGGTACATCATCTAATATGATCAATTGAAACTGTCATTTAAATGCACATAATTCAACATATGGCACAGAATTTTAAGATAATGGCTATACATACATTCTTCGAACGTTCTAACTGTAATTCTATATTCCACCATGGAGCGAGCATATCGGTTCTATTTATTGTAATTCCATGGCGCTAACCTCGCGATAGCCGCTTCAAGGATTGGAGCATTACCGTTCTCCTAGCAGCAGGATATTATGCTGGCAGCACGAGCACAGATTTTTTTGTTTTCAAAATAAGAGTCCCCCTGCAAAGACATGCTAAACTCTGGGAATATCGATTTTTTTTAAGCACTAGTGCAGTACAACTAGTTTTCAAAGCATTGCAACCACCTTTAAACAAATTATTTTATTTCATTTTTAATATTGTATTATTTATACCAGCATTTATTTTGAACGTTTACACAAATACTGATATGTTGAAAGCTACGGTGTAGGCTATATTTAAAATACACTTTTAATAAAATACAAATATGTTATTGTAATTATTCAATAGTCTGCAAAACTTAAATGGTTCTCTCGTGCTGGGCAACGGGTTTAATACAGAGCAACGATGACTCCTTACTCCACCCAATACTTTCACTGCAACGCAATACACAGTATATGGGATACGTATTGGCTTGTAGAGAGAACTGTTCTACTGGTCTCAGCTAAATTGAGGTGGGAAATACTCAGTAGGGTCTCTACTAACCAAATGTGTCGTTTCGGAGGGGGACTGTGTCGTACATACCCAGCAGCACTTCGTTCTCCACCCCCTCCATTGCCCCCAATGCAATACACTGTAATAGACTGTACATGGGATACATATTAGCTTGTAGAGAGAACTTTTCTACCCGTCAGCTAAAGTAGGGTGGGAAATAGGAATTCATATTTTCCCGAAAATCAACCAAGTTTCAAAACCAGGAATAATTAATATATCTATCCAGAGAGTCCCGGGAAATACCGCAAACATCGGAAGTGCCCATTTAAAGAGTTTAAAACAAAAGATATGGTCACTATTCCAGGGTTCTCCCAAAATAAGATTGTCGCTGCGCCACATTGCTGGCTTGGCTGCGCCACTATGTAAAGATTTCACAGCAAGTGAAACTGACATTTAGTAATGATCGAACAATTTTGATCGCCAATGACAATGTTGTGAATTGCGAAACAGGCCGTTCATAAATTCCGGCCGTTATCATGTTCCTCAATTCATTTAGTGCATTTCAGCAGTATGGCCTGGGCTAATCTCTCGTGGACAGGTTCACGTGTAAATGTCGACAATCTGTCAAAAGTGTCAAGTAAATTATGTGATTACGCGCAGCAGTAGTTCCTGGTTTTGGGTTTTCTTCATTGATTATTTGGACGGATCAGGATTAGGCGAAGGTGGTGCTGTAGTTATTCTAACCCCTGGGAAACACTAAAGACGGACCATTCGTTCTACATTAATATTTTCATTAAATTCCATGTTTCACATTAGCACCCGCCAAACAATTGTCTAGTGCATATAATGTATATATCAATATGATATAGCACATCGTTATTTTATTCAACATAGGAAATGTGAGATAAAATAGATGCTGCTGTGCTGGTGAACAGCTTTGGAACACTGAGCCATTAACTGCACCAGGTGG